AACCAGGCTCCAGGCTTTGAGCAGTCAGCCCAGAGCCTTGTGTAGGGCTCGAACTCAGAATCGTGAGTTCGTGACCTGAGCCGAAGTCCCACGCTTAACCACTGAGACACTCAGGAGTCCCCAAAATTGTATTCTTAAGTAATCGCAACACGCAACATGGGGCTGGGACCTACAATACCCAGATCGGGAGTCGCAGGCTCCACCCAGCCTGGCGCCCCAAGGAACTTTAATGATTTCAATAGACGTGTCGAGCTGCCTCCAGACTGCAAGCCCCTCAAAGGCAGGAATCGAGTTTTATTTGCGTCCTCTTCTTAGCGTTCCTGCAGTTCCTGGAGTGCAGTAAGGGTTCCACAAACGTTTGTGACAGCGTGAAGCTCTTTACAGTGGTGAGAACCGGACGGGAGGACCCAAGCCAGGGTGTCGCCTTGCCTAGAGGCAGGGGCTCGCCGGGAACGTGGCGTTCACCCGCGCTTCCGAAGTGCCTCTGCTAAGTGAGCCACGGAGGGGAGGAGCAGTCCCCGGGCTGAACGAGGCCTGGGGCCAAGTGCATCCAGGGCGGAGGGTGGCGGGAAGCTGTCTGTGCCTGAGGAGTCACTTTTTAGGTGCTTGTTTTGGAACATTGCACAAACGCGGGTGCAAACCCCAAGCTCACCAGCGTGAGTCAGCGGGGCCGGCAGCAAGAGGAGAGGGAAAGGTGGGCGAGGAGGGCGCCGCGCACCCCGAGGCCCGCGCGGGCAGCGGGAAGGACCCGGTGGCGATAAGGGACACCCCTAGCGGCGGCCCCTTCCCCAGCCCTACAGGTGAGCGCGGGCCCGCCGCGGGGCGGAGCGCGCCGTCCCTACTGGCCACCCTCCCGGCGCCACCACCACCGCCGCAGGTAACCCCCCTCCCGGACCTTCCCCGGACCCCCAGGGCCTCCGAGCCCCCAGCCCCGGCGCGCACGTGGGGCCGGGCGCCTTTGTCCGCTCGCCGATGGCGCCCGCGCCGAGCCGAGAGGGGCCGGCAGCCGGGCGCGTCCCCGCACCCCGCGCACGCAGACTGCCGGCGGACGGCGGACGGGCGGGGGCCTGGGCTGCCCTGCCCGCGCCCAGTGCCGTCGGAACCTGCCGTGCGGCGGCCCCGCGATCCGGCCTCCCGAGCGTCGCGTCCCCTGGGTGCGCTTCTCCCCGCACGGGCCTCGGAAGGGGGCGCAGGGGCAGGCTGCGCCCCGGGCCCCATTTCTCCCTGGCCTCGGGAGCCGGGAGAGCCCCGAGATGGCGTTGGCGGAAGTGAAGCCCCGCGTGGAGTGAAATGGCCTTTCTGTCCCCTCCCCCGCCTGGTGCACTCCTTAAACAACGACCCTAGCATTTTCCCCAGAATAGCTGCTAAGGGCGCACTGTGGCTAAGTACGCAGCTGTTACAAAATAGCTTTCTTTTTGCAGCAGTTTTTACGGATTTGATGTGTAATTTACATGCAACGAAATGCACCCATTTTAAGGGTGCAGATCAGGGATTTGACAAATTATACACCCGTGTGATCGCTACCCCAACTTTGACGTAAACCATTTACATCACCCCAGAAAGTTCCCTCGTGCCCCTTTCCAGTCAATCCACCCCCCCCCCCCAACCTGCCTGATTTCTATAATAGCTTAGTTTTGCCTGCTTTAGAACTTAATAAAATGGGATCATTCAGGAAGTACTCTTGTTTGTGACTAATACGTTTTAAATGGCTGTCACTGAGAAGGTGTGTCTTGGTGCTTCTGACATTTTTAATTGCTCAAGGCCCGCAACTGTCCAGTGTGGCAGCCACTGGCCACGTGTGGCTCTTGAGCGTTGGAAATATGGCGAGTCTGAATTGAGATGTGCTCGAAGTACCAAATTTTGAAGACTAGAACAACAACAAAAAAAAGGGTTGTAAAATACCTCACTAATGAATTCTGATATTGATTATATGTTAAAATGATACTATTTTGGATACATTGGGTTAAGTAAGATATTGTTAAATTAACTTCATCTATTTCTTTTTACTTTTTAAATCGGCTACTACTACTAAATTTAAAGTTACACCGGTGGTTCCTGTAATGTTTTTATTGGACAGCAGACAGAGCAGCTCTACACACTCCTGTTTTACAAACTGTTTTACAAACAGTTCCGTTCACTGCATATTAAAAAAAAAAAGTAAATGAAAACTTTAGTCTTCATATGGTGAAGACAT